GATATCCATGAAATGAGGTGATGATACCACCCCCTCCCCCTCCCTTACTCCCTCTCCATCCTCCCTCCACCACTCCTTCCCCGCTCCATCACTCCCCTCTCCCTCCATAACTCTCCACCCCTCCCTACTTGTCCCCACCCCCTTTCCTTGTACTGCTCCTTCCTTAAATATAGACTGTATGTAGTAGTATATAATAAAATATGTTTTATGTCATTTTAAATACATTATAATTTGATTTATTGACTTCAAATTTTATAAGGAATTTTGAGTATTAAGTTGGTTATGAAGTCACATGACTTTTAGCTAATCAGGACATGTATAAATTTACAGGAGTTCAGAGGATTCCAGTGTAATGACTGAATTCCTGCAGGAATAGGTGGGGCACTGTAAAGTACTGCCAAACTCGCCTGGGGACATTGAATCATTTTTGTGCCCATTGTTTGAAGAAATGGCATGTGCCAGTGAAGGCCTGTGGATTTAGGATGCCATAGACTCATCCTATTTTACAAACCATGTGTACATAACCATAGGATTGGGTGATATGCTCGGTTCATCAAAGCTAAATGGAATGGCAGGCCATTCTGCCATTTTCAGTGACCACTTTTCTCACACACAAGGTGCAAAAGCGAGTCGAAGTAGAGGTGCACAAGCCCTTTACTATCCAATGAGCCCTCCTCAGAACAAGGAATATAATCCCTCTTGGCCTGCTAGCTATGACCTCAGCAATTTACCGATTTGTACAGAGGAGGACTATTGGGAAACAATTCACAAATTGTCTTCACCATGCAAGCCACAACAAGCAAAAATCACGAATGGAATGGAGGGCAAGGGAAAGGGAGAAGGGAGGGTGGAATGGAGGGAGAGTGGAAGGGAGGGAGAGGGGGGAGAGAGTGGAATGGAGGGGGGAGAGAGGAATGGAAGGGGGAGGGAGTGGTGAGCAGCATTGGAGGTGGTGAGTAATGAAGGGGGCAAGGAGTGGTGGTGCTTGGCCCTCATCGCATCCTCTGTGGGCATTGTGTTGTCATCCCAGGGCAGCCGTTCGTTGTCGTCGCGTGTTGTCATCATTGCATGTTGTCATCATTGTCGTGTGTCATCATTGTCGCATGTTGTGGTCGTGGTCATTGTCACGTTTTGTTGTTGTTGTTGTCACGCATCGTTGTTGTTGTCATGTATTGTTGTCATTGTCACGTGCTGTCGTTGTCGCGTGTTGTCATTGTTGCATGTCTTTGTCCTCATGTGTCATCGTTGTCGCATGTTATTGACACGTCATCGTGTCGTGGGTGGTGCTGGGTCGCTGTTGCCATCCTGTCGTCGGCCTTGGTGGTGGTCATGGGCTATTGTTGGCATTGGTGGGGTGTGATGTTGTTGCGTGGGGTTGCCGTTGTTGTGAGTTGTGGTGGTTGGGTGTGCCGAACGAGGTTGGATATGATGGGAAGGTGGTGGTGGGAAGACAAAAGACAATGACGTGGCAACAAAGCCAACGTGTTTGGCCAGCTTTCAGAACATGCCGGGAGCGAGGGTATATGATGTGTGAAAATTGTGAAGCTATTAAAGCCTTCATGGTGTAATGGTTTATTGCAGCAGTAAAAGCTGTCCAAGTGATTGAGTGTTCAATTCCTGGTCATGACATTCTTTTTTCCTTGTCTAATAATAACAATAATAAATAAACAGAAAGTGTAAACACTTGCTGGACTATGGAGTCTGGCTGGTTGACTGTGTTATGAGGTGGAGTCCATGCAGTCCAGATCTAACATTTGGCTGGGTTGCCACCAAAGAAAAAAATAGAAAAAATACTGGATGAAGAGCAGTAATCCATCTGGAGTCCGCTGGAGTCCATCTGGAGTCCAACCGGAATATGTGGGGGAGTGTAAAGTCCTCAATAAAGCAGACACTACACAGTGTTGTAATAATAAAGCAGACACTACACAGTGTTGTAATAAAAAAGCGGACCCTACACAATTTTGTAATGAATAAAGCAGACACTACACAGTGTTGTAATGAATAAAGTGGACACTACACAAATTTGTAATGAAAAAAGCGGACACTACACAAATTTGTAATGAATAAAGCGGACACTACAAGGTGTTGTAATGAAAAAAATGGACACTACACAAATTTGTAATGAATAAAGCAGACACTACACATTCTTCTAATGAAAAAAGCGGACACTACAAAGTGTTCTAATGAAAAAAGCGGACACTACAAACCAAACTGATATTATGTAATGACTTTCCCAATTGGGAAATATGCGGACATCATCATTAACAATGACAACACCCTGCTAGCCATTAACTCTTCTGGCCCAAAAAGCGTGGGAAATGGTTCCCCACCCAAATGCGCACTGTGCCTGACATCAGGTGTGTCAGAAAAAAGTGTAACGCTTTTCTTAATTAGGAAATGGCCCAATTAGGAAATAGTGCAGACATTGTCATTAACAATGACAACACCCTGCTAGCCATTAACTCTTCTGGCCCAAAAAGCGTGGGAAACAGTTCCCAACCTAAATGTGCACTGTGCCTGACATCAGGTGTGTCAAAAAAAAGTGTAACGCTTTTCTTAATTGGGAAATGGCCCAATTAGGAAATAGTGTGCACATCAATGCATATACTACACATGGGTCAAAGCTATTAATAAATATCCGTCAAAAAAAACCCAAGTTTTTCTCTTAAATATAGGACCCCAGACACCCCTTGTGGCTGAAAAAATATATCCTTAGTAAACCCTAGCTGCAAAATATATCCCAAGTCCATCCTAGACAAGAAATATATTTGGAGTCCATTCCAGTGAGGAAATATATTTTGGGGTGTGTGACACACTAGAAATATATTTAGTGTGACATTGGACAACAAAATATATTTAGGTAAAAGTGGAGATATACAAGCCCCAGAATATATACAATATAGATATACACCCTGACATTTAGTCCCATAGTATTGATGGAGTTTGCAAGACTAATAGTCAGTTGTCAGTGGGTGACTGAAGTGAGTTGTGAGACTATAGCAGAATGATCAATCTGATCTGAACGAATGCCATCACACATCTAGCTCTCAATGCTCATGTCCCGATCTTCTCATCATGATGATGATGAGAACCATAGCCCCAGAAACATTGTGCAGCAGCCGGCCCAAAGATACTGACCAACATTGGCTTTGACTTGGCTTGGTGGTTAAGGCTGCAATACACTCAGCACTGATACACTTTTTAATTTTTACCCATCTTTGTAACAAAATGGGGCAGACTAAACTATACTGACCAATGTTGTCTTGCACATTGACTTGACTCAGTGGTTAAGGCTGTAAGATATATGCAGATCCATATTGAAGATAGCATTAGGATCAACATTAAGGAAATGGGTGTATGCCTACACTGAGCCCATCCTCCACAATCCTCAGATTGGAGTTGGATTTCATCTCTGCTTCTACATCCTTCCTGGTCCTGCCAATGTACTGCTCTTCATAATCTCCTGTAAGGTGAATGTGACACTAGAAGTTTTATTGGTATTATATATATGAAATGAGAGAATTACTTGCCTTTTCATAATCATCCTTTCCAAGTTTATCCTTCTCAGGTGCTTTTTTTGCCTTTGGAAGAGCTGTCAATCCTTGACCCTCATCTTTGAGTTCACCGTCAGCTTGTCCCTTACCTCCTACAACCCTTATACCAAGGTAAACAGCAAGAGGATTTATATTCTTGTCATAAAACTGGCCAGTTTTACATTGAGGGTCCAAGTGTTCCTGGACATCAAGGGAAATGTTTTCAAGTTTAGGTTTGATTGTACAAGATTTATTGACAAAGAAGTGATGAGCTTTTCTGTGCAACTGCTGCTCTCAATTTGGCCATTCACTCAGACCCAGCCATTCAAGATTTAGTGCTCCAAGGTTTGTTAGAGCCTGCTGAAGGGAGGGGTACTCCTTCTAACTTAGAGGCAGGTCTGTCAGTTTGTAGTGCTATAGGATAACTATCAGCCAAGACTTCACACTTTGTGAAAAAATCATACATGCAGATTTTGCTTTGTCCAAAGTATTTTTTCAGTAGTATCTTCTATTGTATTGGCAGACTTCTTTGAGATGGTTGGAGGGACTGTGACTGCACAAGCCTGGGGCTTATTCATGTGAAAGGTGGGTGGTTTGACTTCACTTAAAGAAAGAGGTGGTAGTGGGTTAGAGGTGCTCACCTGGGATGGGGAAATCAAGAGTAGGTTTTATTAACAAAAAGTTGAATAGCTGGTTCTCACATTTCAAAAAAGACACACCCAGAGGGACATGGGGGAAGTATAATAGCTGCATGGCTATTTTTCATGGAAATTGAGGATAACAAATGAGGTAGTAATTACAAGGAGGACAAGCAAGGCAGTTTTATGAGGAAAAAGTTGAACTGCTGCTTTTCAGGTTATGAAATGGACACACCCAGAGTGAGGGACATGCAGAGTGTTATAAAGCAAAGGAGGTTACCAAATAAGGAGATTATTGGTCAGCTTATCTCCTTATATAGTAGAATGGTCCTAGTGGAGGAAAAGAATCTTACTATGCCTTACCAAATAAGGCAAATTTCCTTTTTTATCCATATGTAGGACATGGCATATCACCCACCATTGTGAAGAATTTCCATTGTTTTCCATTTGTCAAACATGTATTTCTACTCTAATACAGACTGTATAGCCTAGAAAATGTGTGATGGCATGCTTCATCCAAGATGGAATCCCATTACCCTCCCTTCCCATCTCATCTGGTGACTCATGAACTCTTGTTTTCTTTTCATAGCCAGATGGCAGGCTCATCAAACCCATAAAGTTGAGCAGTACAAGATGAGCTTGTCTGTAAATAAGTATGTATATGTGTGAATGAGTTTTCATCATGGAACATATACCATCTTACAGGTGTGTGTGTGCCACTTATGTTCACTGACCACTTGTACCTTGGTACTTCCACAAGGGGCAAACAGCTATTGTCCCCTGGTAAAAATGTGATAAAATGCAAATGACTACGTTAAATCTTTGATTTCACATTTATACCAAAAAACTGGAGTTAAATATGATTATTCATTATTGCAAGTTTTTTGCAGCAGGAAGGTGATATGAAAGATGTAAAATATTCATCAGTCTTTTGCAAGTTGAGTAAAATGAATTTCCTACAGAAGATTTCCTCCTGGTAAATAAATAAATAAAAATCATGCCCAGGAATTGTGATAAGGAGAAGTAAAATAGCCATCACTTTTTTTTGTGAGAAACAGATATTCCATAAAATAGTTCACCTATTCAACTCAAAATTTCTGTCAAGGGAATGAAGTAATGCATCTGTATATTTGTGGAATAAACATTTAATAAGCATTGGCAAGATTTACATTGAAGTTTTGTTGCTCATGATCCTTGCAGGAATGACCAGTAAATATTATACATTGTCGCCAAGGTAAGAAGATAAAGATCAATCACCTTTTGCCATGGCAACAATGATGAGGCAATGAGTTATTCTTGTCAACAAATAATTCTGACATGAGGAAACAGGAACAACAACTTCAAATGGTTGCCAAGCAATTAGATGAGCTGGTTCATGTTGGGTTGAACATTACAGTGATCACAAATACCATTAGATACAGCCCGATCTAGTGAATTAAAGTCTTCATCCAAGAAATGTGCATGTCTTAAGGTAGTAGGAATTGTGGTTGGCACGTGACTGGGCCACCTCAATATACTCGAAGCCTACTGAATAGTGTTTAAAGGTTCAGTCCATAGGACCACAAAAAGCCAGTGGACTGAACTGAACTGGAACATGGACCAGTCTTTTTTTCGGTTGCAGTTGCTCCAATTTGGGGTTGGTCCCGTTGCCAATAGTTCACTGTAAAAGGGTTGTAGAGTAAACACACCTCGGCACAGAGTGTTGGAGTTTACACGAAACCAGGGTTTGTTGCTAATATGGATTAAACAATGTAATTCGATGAGTAACACATGAGTGTATAACTTGACATATTCCCAACTAGTGCTTGGAAGTCCAGTCCCAAGACTTCAAAAAGACTGAGACCGAACCGGACCCAGACCACCCAGGACTGTTAAAGACCGCAACCACGGTCCAGTCTTCGGTCTCTCAGGATGTTTGAAATTTCAAGACCGACAAAAGACTGGTTTGACCGGTCTCAACCAGTCTTTCCAGCCTGAACAAGCTGAGTATGTACTATATATATTCAAAAACGAAATTTCGATTCATGCATGCAAACAGCTGTGAAAGACAACCATTGATTGCACAACTATCATCGAGAGCAGAGTTTGAATTAAGATCAATGATGCCAGACTGTTGATCTTGCCTTCCACTCTTGTTTCCTCTTGCAACGTCCCTCTCGTTTTGGCAGACACAACAGGACGTGAATGAGAGGTTTGTATTTTATATCTAAATTATGTTTACTAACCTTATCCTCACTGTTTAGGTCCCCCTGCACTTGCTTTCGATGCCAGCAACACAAGCCTCGCCCCTCCCAACAAGGGATGTAGGCGCTATTTGAAGGATTATGGCGAGTGCAGAGGGGTGTGGAAATGCGAGGGGCCCATGTTATGGGAGACCCCTGAGGTACGTCAGCAGATGTGACCACGATTGGGATCCCAATGGCATGGCAGCAGTGCTTGTGGTAGACCTACCAGGTGCATTGCAGAGCCCATCACACGGCTTCTCCACTCACCCATATCTCTGCCAACCTGCCATATCATCGACTACCACCACATCGACACCCATATTATCTGCCCATCGACCTCACACCTGACCTCGCCCAAACCTTGCTATCCTGCCCCCAATGTCAACCTCGCCACGTTGACCCAACTGCTCCATGTCAACTCCACCCACATCCAACACTGAATGAGGGTGATGTGAACAATGACATACTACTAATGTATGAAAGTAGTGTTTGCAGGTCCAGTTCAGTCTGGTTTTTTGCCTCGAAAACAGGCAACCGCAGACCGCAACCGGTCTAGGACTGACCCAGATATTGAGGGAACTGAACCGGACCACCTAGGACCGGTCTTTTGCAGTCCATGGACCGCATTCAAACTGAGTCAGACCGGTCTTTTTGTGTAAAATTTGTCATACCAATATAAACCATTTGTATCTCAATTATTATCATATAAATACCCATCATTCCACCAATTCTTAAGAAATTTAGTGAAGGTTTGACATAGCTATGACTGAAACCGAATTACATCTCCTAAAGACTCGGGCAAAATGTAATGTGGCAACTGTAAATTATTTGATGCATACCATATACTGATAGATGGTGAGTATATTTTCATACTTAAAATGTCAATATCCAAAAATTGAATCAAGCAAAATGATGAAAGTTTGAGTGAGTTAGAATTAAAGTCATTCTAGTACAAGTTGCACAAACAAGTATTTGTGCCAAAATGGATTTAGTTATATCTTTCTCAGTTCTTAACTGTTTTTGATGAACTAAAAACCCAATTAAAGGTAATAGATGTGGTTACAAGGCGACCGTTTAACCGGTTGCAACCGATTTAAACCAGTCTTTGAACGGTTTTAAAAGATTTTTGAAATGAGGCAACCAGCAACTGGACCAACCCCAAATTTGGGCAACTGCAACCGAAAAAAAGACCGGACCATGGTCCGGTTCAGTTCGGTCCACCGGTTTTTTTCGGTCCTATGGACCGGACCTGTAAACACTATATGAAAGCAGGTTCTATAAATGTGGACGTAGTGTAATCATTATCTATCCTGTTTGCTATCTACAAGACCGGTCTGGGACCGGTTGTTGACTGGTCTGAACCGCAACTGGTTCAGACCAGTCTTGCAACCACACAAAACCGTAAAAAACTGCTCTGGACCAGTCTACATCGGTTCGGTTCGGTTTTTTTCAGCTTGGACCGAACCGGACTTCCAAGCACTATTCCCAACATAAGAAGGCAACTAGTCACATGCTATGAAGCATGATCAAAGAAATCATGTGGTGATACGCATCATGGGCACCATGGCATCATTGACCCAGGAGTGTTCGGCCTTGAAGAATATTCCAGAGCCTCCTCCCAAGAGAGAAAACTATGAACTATAATAGAGAAAACACTACAAAAACTTAAAAGAAGTCAGTCCAGTTGTGCCACACACAACTGGGCCACTTCAAACCTTTACTACAAACCAAAATTAATTTGTCCAACAATGCATGGACATGTAAATATAAATAGAAAACATAGAATAGTATAAAAGGAGGACACGTGCAGGCTGAAATGTAAGGAATTATCCCCTGCTTTTACCAGCTGTCGCACTCCCATTAGCATCTGAGGTAGTGGATAAGTTTGTAAATCAATTAAAGGACTTTTCTTTGCAGACATAAGTAAAGTGTGCCTGGAACCAGCATGTTAGATGGCACCACGACCATGACAACAACACCATGGCACCACAACCCCAAACAATGGCAACCCATGTCAGAGAAAAGACAAGTGCCCACCACCATCAATGAACTGCAATGAGCACCCACCCTAACCACACATGAAAAGCAACAACCACCCTGCACAACCACCCATGGAAAATGACGAGCACCCACCAAATTTCTGTAGACACCACAAACTAATGTCAACCACCATGACCACAACCTGACAACACCACCCACAACATCCACAACACAACACCCAACAGAAACGGCCACCACCACCCACAAAAACCACCACCACCATCTTGAACTGCCCATATGGAAACCAGGTGCCATGTCACTGGCAGTGACATGGCACCCAATGGACAAACAACAATATCATGCCACAGCCCCCCTGTCGCATGTTTGCCCCACCAGGGTAGGGGTGATGACACATCAACAATGACACAGAGCAAGGACACAATGACGAGGCCACCAGATGAAAGCGACTATACAACGAGGTGGACATGATGCAAGCACCCACCACCACAAAATGAGGACACAAAGAGGGGGACAGAGACAATGTGAGCACCACACCCATTAATGAAGATGCATGCCCACAAACAAAGACGACTGCCCATGTATGAAAACAACTGCCCACAAAGGAAAACAACTGCCCCCTGCATGAAGACAACCAAGCACCCACAAACAAAGACAACCACCCATGTAGGACAACAGAATGCAGCTGCAACATCACTGATGGTGACATGGCAACCAAATGATGAACATTGTCATTGATTTTAGCAATACTTTCCATTTCTCCACTGATTCCTACCAGAT